AGCGGGGGAGTGGGAGAGGGAGAAGCAGGCCTCCCGCGGAGCGGAGAGCCCGACGCGGGGCTCGATCCCAGGACCCCGGGATCACGACCTGAGCCGAAGGCAGACGCTTAACGACTGAGCCACCCAGGCGCCCCTAGGTCAGGGATTCTTAAATGGATTCTCAGACGGCCTGTGAACCCCTTAAAATTGCAAAGAAGATTTCATGCATGTGCTGATTTTTCTTAGGGAAAAAACCCACAAATTTCATCAGAATTTCGGAGAAGTCCAGAGGTTAAAACCTCTGTCTAAAATGATTTTCAAAGATTTTTGTATAAGTAGGTGTTTTACCTACGGAGAGGGGAAATACTAATCTCAGGGTAAGGAATATTTTGCACAGATTGGAACAGGGCTTGTAGGTGACTCGAGTCTTGGGCCACCAGGATACTTCATTTCCATCACTTTATATTAGAATTTCCCTGAGCCGGCTTCCCTCACCTTCCCACTGAGCGGGAGCTAAACTTCAGGGCTCACAGAGGGAAGCAGCTGTGGGTTGGAGGCCAGTCTGGCTGGGAGGCAGAAACAACTGTGATTAGTTTTGCTGGAAAAGGCGGTTATGGAATGGGGGAGGGGTCAGTTCTGGAAGGACAGACAAAATTGAGGAGTTACTGGAAAAGAGGTGGAGTTCAAGTTCAGCAACCCCTTTAGAGAGTGTCCGTCTCCTTCCCTCACACATACTTCAGCTTGCAGCTGTCCCTTCTAATCCTGTTTGCTTTAGTGCAAGTATTTTAGAATACTGGAGAGTTATGCTTCTGTACGGGAGGAGCCTGTGCTTCTATAGATAAGGAAATTTAAGTCTAGTTAAGGAAAAGACTTGCCCAGCATCCTTGCAACTCATTGGTTCAAGCAGGACTATAATCTACTTCTCCATATACCTCACCCCATGCCTTGTTCATTGCGTCAGGCACCCACTGTTTGCAGAAAGACTTCTGGCGTAGCTGTGGGCAGGGCTAACGGGCACCAAGTGCGTGGGCAGTGACAGAAGAGAAGGCATGGAGAGAAGGCTCAGGCCTAACAGGGGTTATTGTGAGCTGAACTCTGTGTCTGTTACCCAGTGGAGTCCCCTTTTGGGGAATACAGCCATGCAGCTGAATGGGGGAAAGAGCCTGTGGGTAAAGCAAGAGTGGATTCCTCAAGACTTAGGGTTGCCTGCATTAGAGGCTTGAAGGGGAATGGGTGAGGTGGGGCGGGGGACACAGCAGCACTCGCTGGGAGAAGTGCGTTTCCAAATAAAAGAGGGTCATCTTTCTCTGTGCTCATGGAAGGGACTTATATTTTGGTAGTATCCAGCAGGAGTGAATAAGGGTAGCGGATAAGAGGCCGGAGGAAAGGAAGAGAAAGGTTTTTTGGTTTTTGGTTTTTGATTTACGGCCATTCGGCTCTTCGGCTGCTTGGCTTTGGCTCAGGAGCTTGGAATGGCTTTTGCCACTGAAACAGCGTGGTTGCTCCGGTAACAGGGTGGTTGTTGCTAGGCACAGGGGGCCGGCTTACCATCCAGAGTCCTCAGCTGTGAGGTGATGGGTGCTGAAGGTTGTCCTGTTGCCTTTGAGCCCAGAGGTGCTCGGCGTCTGGAACCTAGCTGGCAGCTGTCCCCGCTTCTCCCACCCTGTGCCTGGTCTTGTCCGCACTCTTTATCTGTCCTGCCCATTCTCTGACCATATATGTCATTTTTGGGCTCCAGGAATGTAGTGGCTTAGAGCAGCCTCTTCTCCGGGGCTGGACTGAGTGGATCGAATCCCCTCCCTGACCCACATGGTGAGTCTGGGATGGCAGGGGGTTGGCTCCCAGTTAGGTCCGAGGGCAGAAGCTGCTGCCCTCAGGCTCCACGCAGCCACATCCTTTACCAGCCCCAGACCTGGGCAAACCCAGCTTCCGATTCGGCTCCTCTCCCTCTCCGTCTGCTGTAGCTGCGGGTCTGGTTTTCACCTCCTGTCACTCAGCGCTCTGGATGCCGTGGGCTTCCCCCTTTCCCATCTGTGCTCTCCAATCCTTGGGGCAGTCTCTTGACCTTTCCCACCTTGAAACTACATCTGGAGCTCCCTGCGGATTAGAGTGGGCTTGGGAGCCCCCAGGAAGCTGCAGATTGTCTGCTGTGACTGGCAGGCAGATTCCATCCCTTACTTCTTGTTCCTGTCCTGGGGCAAACCCAGCTGGGCACCTTGACCGTGGCCTTTTTTCTGTGACCCTGGGGTCTCTGGCCACCTCCTCTTCCCTGGGCCAAAAGTGAGAGGAGGAGTAGCCAGGGCCACAATTAACCTTTTTCACGAATGGGGTTTGGAACATCTCTGTACACCTTAGATGCTTGCAGCACCTCTCCTCTGTAACTGTTGGGGACTGGGAAGCTTCTTTGCTCCATGACCCCTGAGGAGAGGTGCGTGGACTTTTCTCCCCTCTGCAGCTGGGACTGCATGACTGTACCAGATGGGCGGTGGGCAGCACAGGGCCCGGCACGGCTCGTCCCTAGCCAGCTGGAGGACCTGAGGGCAGGCACCGAGCTGCGCCATCCTCTGCCCCAGCTGCCTTTTCTGGCAACACGCCTAAACTGTGGAGAACCCAGGGTGACATGGAACTCTTGGCAAGGATGCGAAGTGTTGAGGAACAGGAACAGGGGAGGTTGGGGGAGGAACGAGTGAGAGCAGGAGGGTTTGCTGTATCAGTTACAAGGGAAACGAGGGTGTCCCTGACTTGCCACCCCCACCCCAGGTTTCTCTTCAGGTTCTGTGGAGTGAAGCTGTGGGGGACAGGCCTGGTCATGGACCCGCTTTCAGAGTTGCAGGATGACCTGACCTTGGATGACACCAGCCAGGCCCTGAACCAGCTGAAGCTAGCCTCCATTGATGAGAAGAACTGGCCGTCGGACGAAATGCCTGACTTTCCGAAGTCAGGTGGGTGCTTCCGGATCTCAGGCGGCCCTACAGTGCCTTAGAAGGGGAGTCTCCCTTTCTGTTGAAGGGGGGCAAGCAGACCAGCCCCAGGGTGGGGCTGGGGGCACACGTCCTACGGACTGGGGGAGGATCAAAGAACACGAGTCTCAGGGAGAACACTGCCAGCCCCCCAGGTTATCCCCTGACTTTGCGGTGTTCCTCAGATGACTCCAAAAGCAGCTCCCCGGAACCTGTTACTCACCTGAAGTGGGATGACCCTTACTACGACATTGCCCGGCACCAGATTGTGGAGGTGGCAGGTGAGCATTGCACCTTTTGCCTCCTGGTCTGCCCTCCCGGCTTGAGGAAGCCCGCCCCTCGGGCCACAGGGGAAGGGACTGGGGGAGGGGCCGGGACCTGCCCTGTGATCTCACCCCTGACCCTGGGGCTCCTGAGCCACTGTACCGTTTTTTAAAATCACAGACTTGATTGTGATGGCCACTTGGTCTCTCCACCGGCAACCACATGCTGACCTCTGACCCCATTGTCTCTGTTGGCTGATGGTGGATGGGAGGCAGTGTGGCTTAGTGCCTTTGAAGTCAGAGAGCAGTTTGATTTCCAGCTCTGCTCTCTGAACTCCTTTCTTCCTCACAGGGTCGCTGAGAGGATTAGAGTAGCAAGTGTCTGTCAGGGCCTAGCCGGGAGCCAGGACATAGTTGGCCCCGAATAAGTGGCCACTAACCTCCCTTCCCTTTGCCCTGATGTCAGCTTTTCCACCCCATCAGTTACTGGGGACCAGGGAGGTGCCAGTTCCTTTTGGGGGGAACCCTACCTCCAGGGAAATCTGGAATGGCAGAGCCTCCTTCCAGAAGTTAGGGGCCCCATGACCCCCTGGAGCGTCAAGTTTCTGGCAGATGCGCTACCGTGCTGAGCGTGGGTATGGAGCCCCCCCTTGGGTCTTGGCCTCAGTGAGCTCCCACTTTCTTGTTCATAACGCAGGACCCAGAGCAGGGGAGGTAGCAAGGATGTTGGTGACCGATTTCTGCCCTTAGCGTCCTACTACTACCAGAAGAGGAAATCAGAGTGGTAGGATTGTCTTTTCCCTGATGGTTGTCTGTCCTCACTGGTGGAGGACAGGTAACTGTAAGCCAGGATGACAGCATGGCCCTGCTCTGAGGCATTGGGGTGAGCAAAGGAGGCCGGGTAGCGCATGGCCCTGGAGCGCAGCGTGCTGGCTAAGGGGGCTCTGCAGGCATCTGGCTATAGGGAAGCCACAGGGAGCTCTATCTCTTCTGAATGCTGGGCTTAGAGAGGGAGGAGGCAGTTGAAAGATTTGCCCCTTATTTCAGAGGCGTTTCCAGGGCATTTGTCTTCCTGGTGCCTCTCCTGGTCTGAGTCGAAGGCCTTGGCTGTGGCTCTTTCACCCCTACAGAAGCAAGGTTGAGAGTTCTTTCCTGGCCCGGTCCTCACCTGGGCACAGGAGAGTCACCAAAGGTTCCGAACTTTCTTTCCTCACTTCCAGAAATGGACCTGACTGGGGCATGGGGGTGGGTATCTGATGTGATGTAACATAGTCTCTATCCTCCTGACCGGTGTGGCCAAGACACAAGGCAGAGCAGGGGGGCCCACCCCCACCCCGGCACTGAGTGACCCCTTTCCCCACTGCAAGCAGAGCTGCAACATGTTTCTGTTTCCCCAGGGTATGATGAGCCTGAGGGGGCCCAGCCAGGTAGGTGTGTTCCTGGCTCTCTGCGCTTGGCCTCTGGGCTGTGGATCAAGAGGGGCTCTTGGTGGAGGCCAGGTGGGGCCAGCTTAATTGCAGCCCCACTCCAGGGAGCTGGGAGCTGGTGGTACCTGGGAGCCGGAACTAGCAAAGGGTTTACAGGAGGTTTGACAGGGTGGTGCCGTGTGGGGACACATCCAGAGCCCAAAGGGAAAGGGGCTCCTGGGGACGGAGGGGCCATGGCCCATGGCCTTAGTGCCGGCTCAGGGCCCCGCTGGTGGGGGTGTCCCCATGGCTGTGCCTCTCTGGCTGCTCCGAAGAGCGTGGATTGGCACCACCTGAGCCGGAGTCGTTTGACGAGACCATGGTGATGTCCTTCCTGGGAGGCCGGTTTCCCGGCATTAGAAACTGGAGAAAGAGCCCATGTTGAATGGAGGATGGGCGGGGGGTTGTCCCCAACTCCTGTGCAGCCTCTGTTCTCCGTGCTGGTCATAGCTGTCATGCTCCACATTCAAACTTGACTCAGTCCGAGTGGGTTCTTTCCAGTGGCATGCTGGCAAACATTTAACAGTTCTCTCTCTGGAAAGGGAGCGGAAAAAAAGGCTAGTATTTATTTGTAGCATTTGTAATTTCTACCACAGCAGATTTCAAGCACCAACACGATGTCAACTGGCTGCAGTATTCCTGACCACTTAACAATTTAACAAATGTGTGAGCCAGCCCCGGCCCAGTGCCCCAGCCCCCACCTCCCATCCCCTGGGCCTGCTCTGCAGGTTGTGGGCGGGTGGTGGCTGGTCTGGTGGTTCCCAGAATGCCTGCTGGAGGACTGCAGTGTTGCTGATTAACACCCAGGCCACCCTGGGAGCGTTCCTGATTGGTATCCGGGGAATGCAGAGGCTCCCTTCCCAGGCAGCTTGCTCTTTTCCTGGTGCTTTCCACAAAGGCCGTGTCTTCTCATCGAGCCCTTGCCCCCAATGCCCTGGAGACACCAGTGCACCCAGCTCCTCTCCCTTTAGTCTCCAGGGCAGAAGTCTGTTCTCTTCTGAGCTCAGGAGGGAAGTTCCCAGCCTTTTCACACTTGCTTCTTGTAGCGGCAGTTACTTTGTCTGCTGGCAGATGCCAAGCCACCCAAGAATTTGAGCAACGGGACTCCACTCCAAGGAGGGGAGGACAGGGGCTAGGCCCTGGGGTCACCCGCATCTTGTTCCTTGCTTGTCTGAGAGTTTTGCCATCCAGCCCCTCACCGATCCAGCTTTTGCCCCAATCCCTGTTCGACGTAATCCAACAGGTATTTTTAAGCCCCGTAGTCAGCATGGAGGATTCAGTGAGGAAAAACACGCATTACTTCCATCAGGGAGCAGACAGTCCAGTGAAGGGGTTCTTAGAACTGGTCCGAGTCGTTTTTGAGAATATGAGCGATGTGGACCTCTTCTAGGGTATATGTGCATGTGTTTGTAGTGTTTTTCATTTATCATCATGGCCTTGGTGGAGCCCTGGTTGAGAATGCAATTTCCCATTATGAGGGCCTCCTTCAGCCCCTCTGATGAGTCTTGCCTCAGCCCTGCAGAAAAGGGTCAGAGCCTTGGCAACCACTTTGGAAAAGTACTGACTCCTGGGTTAGGTCTCTGACCAAGAAGAAGCATCAAGATCATGGTTTACTAAATATGGAGAAGGACACTCAGCAAGGCATGGGGTGGGGAGTGGGCCTTAATCCTCAGAGGTAGGTGGACAGACTCCATGCATTTCATGGGTTGTACTGGTATTTTCATTTGCCTCTGAAGCAATGGGAATTAGGCAAGTGTGGTTTGGTGTCTCTGGAGAGGTGTGAAGGTAAAGATGTAGGGAGGGTTCCTGGGACATGGGGGAGTGGGGACCAGGCCTTGTCCTCATCGAGCTTTGTTTGATGTCCCTGATCCGTCCTGACCCTGGAAGAACATCTCACCTTGGAGGGCAGGAGCTCCCCGGCTTCTTGACAAAGCCAGATGATCAGACCATCAAATAGTGACCAGTTTTGGACGAACACCCCTGAGCGATTACAGCCAAACGAGCATTTTTCCCAAAGCATTACAAACTCCTCTGAACTCCCATGTTCTTTAGAATATCTTTCATGAGAAAGGATATGATTTTTAGAAATGTCCAGAAGTCAATCAGAGCCAAGTGTGGTTAATAATCCTAGTAATACAATCAGAAAGCGCTGCTAGTGGTCAAAAAAGAGAGCTGACCATTAAGTAATCACTCCCGTGTTCTCCTTGGCCTTGGACTTGCCCAGAAGGCAGCGTCAAGACGTTTTCCAAATACACGCTGCCCAGAGGGGGTGCTTCTGGAATAAGCCTGGGCTTTTAAGATGACTGTTCGACAAGGTACCAATTGCTTTGGTGGATGTGACTTCCAGTTTTTTTAGTTAGCCATTTTAAAATGTGCAATCGGTGCTATTTCAGACATTCACAGTGGGGTGCAGCCGTCTCTGTTTAGTTGCACCATTTCATCCATACCCACGCCAGATCCCATAACCATAAACAGCCAATCCGTAATCTCCCCTCTTCCAGCAACTGACAACCACTAATGTGCTGTCTCTGTGGATTTACCTATTCTAGATAACTCCTATAAACGGAGTCATACAATAGGTAGCCTTTGGGGTCTGGCTCCTTTCACTTAGCACCATGTTCTCAAGGTCCATTCACAATGTAGCATGGACCAGTACTTCATTCCTTTTTATGGCCAACCTGTATCCCACTGCATGGATATACCACATTTTCTTTATCCATTCATGCATTGATGGGCATGTGGGTGTTTCTGCCAGGTGTGACTTTTTACAAAGTCACCTTATTTTTTAGACCCCAGCTCAGTAGCCCCGAAAGCAACCTGTCCCTCTTTCTTCAGCCACACATGCTTGAGTACAGACACCTGCCCAGAGGTGGCTCCACTTCGGCCACTCTGGCCCCTGTTCTACGTGGCACGGGTCTCCAGGCCTGGCACCCTTCAGTTCCTCGCCCCGCTTCTCTCTGTTGATTTTCCACTCACCGCTCCATCTTTCTCCACACCTAGGAGATGACAAGTATGGGCGGAAGATCATTGTGTTTAGTGCCTGCCGAATGCCCCCGAGCCACCAGCTGGACCACAGCAAACTCCTGGGGTGAGTATCCACGGGGAAGGTGGTGGGACCGGTGCCCAGGTCCCCCAAACCCCCCATCGCCTGATGCATTCTCCTTCCTGTCACTTCCAGTCCAGAGGTATCAAGCCGCCTCCCTCCACGCCTCCCCTCTACTCCAGAGGGAGCTATTCTTTACATTTGAGGGATAGCACCGGGCTAAGAGTTGGACCTGGTTTCTAGTCCAGGAAACTGCAACCTTGGCAGGTGTCTTCATCTCTTCAAGCCAGTTTTCCTTCACTGAGGGCATCAAAATGCAGCCCTCCTTCCTCGTAGAGTGGAGATACTGCACGCGAACACGCTTGGAAAAGTAAAATACCGTCCCCCGGTGCGGACTGATGGTTATGAGCAGCACTTCTGCTGTGCTTGCAGTTCGTCATTTACATGAATGATTAGTGTTATTTGGTGCCAGTGGCCTCTGTACCTGTCTGGGTTCTGTTAGCAAATACATGGAATAGCTCTGGTTGGTCTAGAAATCTGATGCCAGTTGGAAAGCTGATTGCAAGCAGGAGTTTGACAGACCTTTTTTTTTTTTTTTTTTAAGATTTTATTTATGGGGCACCTGGGTGGTTCAGTCTGTTAAGTGTCTGCCTTCGGGGGCGCCTGGGTGGCTCAGGCGGTTAAGCGTCTGCCTTCAGCTCAGCTCATGATCCCAAGGTCCTGGGATCGAGCCCCAAGTTGGGCTCCCTGCTCAGCGGGGAGCCTGCTTCTCCCTCTCCCTCTGCTGCTCCCCCTGCTTGTGCTCTCTTTCTGTCAAATAAATAAAATCTTAAAAAAAAAATAAAGATTTTATTTATTTATCTATTTCAGAGAGACAGAGAAAGGGCAGGGGGAGGAGCAGAAGGAGAGGGATAAGCACACTCTGTGCTAAGTGCAGAGCCCAGCATGGGGCTCGATCTCACGACCCTGAGATCATGACCTGAACTGAAACCAAGAGTCGGACGCTTAACCAACTGCGCCACCCAGGCGCCCCTGACAGACCCTGTTCCGATAAGCAGTTGTTATTGAGCCACCAGTGGGCCCCCGGCATGCGCTGGACCTCCATGAAGGTAGAGCCCTAACGGACTTATCCTGAGGCGCCTTAGTGCGTGTCCAGTTAGCCCCTTGCACTTCTTTCCTGATCTCTTTAAAGCACTCCCTGAAACTGAAAGCGTCTGCACTGCTCATACCAGCTCTTTGGGATCCTGAATGGTTGTGTGTGTGTGTGTGTGTGTGTGTGTAGGGGGAGGGGAGGGGTCAGGGACAAGCCAGCGGTGCGGCTGCAGAAGGGAAAGGGCCTGAGTGCAGAGTCCGCAGTCCTGGTGGGAGTCCAGCCCTGTGGGAGTTTTCTCTCAGGCTTTCAGAGCCCTGCTCCTGTCACCCCTCAGATGGGCAGACAGAGCCTTGTTGAGGCCCATCCCATGGCCCAGCCAGGAACAGGCCACGGAGCTCAGCCTGAGGGTAGCTGAGTCACACACCCTACCGTTTGGTTTCACCAGCGACTGAGTTGGCAGGTGACAGACTCCTGGCCAGAGAATAGTCTGAGTGGGAGGAAGTCAGAGGAAGGAGCTGGGAAAGCACCCAGTTTTCAGGAGAGAGCTTGCTGAGTGAATCCGCACCACTCGGGGGGCTTCCTCTGACTTCCGGAAGCCCCCCGACATCCATCCTGTCTGTCCTCCGTCCCTTCCTGGAGGGGTCTCCCTGCCCCCATGCAGCCTGTGGGGCAGCGCTTTCCACGCAGATCAGTCCCATTGTCGCAGCCTTGGCCTTTCCTGCTGTCCAGCCACATCTAGGGAGTTGAAAGAGAAAATGCCTGAAGCTTGGATTCAGAAGACCAGTTCAATTTCACTGTGCCTCTTACTAGCTGTGTGGTTGGGGCAAGTCTCTTCTGAACCCTATAAAAATAAGAATTGTGCCCACCTCACGGGGTTGTCATGGGCATTAGGTAAGATAATATACATGAAATGCAGGGGTGCCTGGGTGGCTCAGATGGTTAAGCATCTGCCTTCGGCTCAGGTCATGATCTCAGGGTCCTGGGATCGAGTCCCGCATCGGCTCCTCACTCAGCAGGGAATCTGCTTCTCCCTCTTCCTCTGCCCCTCCCCTTGCTTGTACTCACTCTCTCTCTCCCTCTGCCTCTCTCTCTCTCTGTCTCTCATGAATAAATAAATAAAATCTTAAAAAATATATATATATATATACATGAAATGCCCTCGTATACATTTGTAAAGTATTACAGATTTCAAGGATTTAGAAAAATGTAACTATAAAGAAAAAATATGGGCAATGATAAAATCTCCCATGAACCTACCACCCAGAGAAAAAAACTGCTGTTAATATTTTCGTGTATTCACCTTTTTCTATAACTCATACAGAGGTGACTACACAAAGATCTGTATTTTACATAACGTTATCTTCTGAACACTAAACACGCTTCAAAGACATCTTTTAAAAACATGTTACTGGCATACATGTGTACAGAAAAGTAAATTGTCATACTACTTGATGAATTTTCAGGAACTGAATACACCCATCCACACCCACAGGCCTCCCTTTGTTCTTCTAGCTGCTTCTCCAAAGGGTAACCACTCTCCTGACACCTAATTTCACAGATTGCTTCTGTCTGCAGAAACATCCTGTGAGGTATTCTATTTATAGATGGCCTGTAATTTATTTAACCAGTTCCCTGTTTCTGGACAGTTAGCTTGCTGCTCAAAAAAAATGTTTTTTCCATTGTAAAACAGGCTGCATTGAACAGCCTTCGACAAAAATGCTTCTGTTCATTTCTGATTGTTTCTTTAGGATAACTTCCTGGATATGTTTTTACAGGGTCAAAGAGTATGAACATTTTTTAGCTTCTGATAAACATCACTTTATGGCTCTCCAAAACGCCATAACATCCAGCAAAGGGGGGGGGTGTATTATCACTACAACTTTTGCTATTTTATAGTTGCAAAATGCATCTTTTCATGTGACAGCTCTTTGCAAGCTGTGAAGTGTGCAAGGGCTAAATTACCGTATAGCAGTAAGGGCTGGGATCACAGTAATAATCCAGCATTTGACACTTCACATGCCTGCCTGTGTGGTCAGCAGAGTGAACTTGGGAGTTAGTTCATCTCCAGGCTCCAGCACAAGCTGTGTGACTCTGGATAAGCACTTAACCTCTCCGAGCCTCACTGCCCTCCCGTGTAAGGAGGAGATAATCTCAGCCCCAACTGTTCCGAGGAAGGCATGAGATAATGTACGCAGAGTGCTTGTCAGACACTAAAAGCTAAATATTGATGAATGGTGACTGTCATCATCATGATCGACTCTGGGCAGTCCTGCGGGGAGTGTTACTCCCATTTTTCCTGCAGGTATGCCAGAGGGCCCCAGTTCCAGTCCTGGTCTCCTGGTTTCTGGCCAGGACTGCTGTTCTCCTCCTTCTTCCTCCACCCAGCCCAGCCGCGACCCTGAACCTCCTCCACACCGTGCAGCGGGTGATTGTGCAGCCAGATCGGGCAGTACACGGAGGCGGAGGATAGAAGCAGGGGACCCCCGGGCGCCGGGTCATGTCTCCGGGGGCCCCTCCTGAACCGAGTGGGGCTTTGCTCTTGTAGGTACCTGAAGTACACGCTGGACCAGTACGTGGAGAGCGACTACACGCTGCTCTACCTGCACCACGGCCTGACCAGCGACAACAAGCCCTCCCTCAGCTGGCTCCGGGACGCCTACCGCGAGTTTGACCGCAAGTGGGTTGGGGCCCGGGGGCAGGGGGCTGCGGAGCCAGCAGCTCTGCTAGCTTCCAGGCTGTCCTCTGCTTGCTCTGTGCCAGGGGGAGGCAGGCGCCCGCGCCTGGGTGAAAGCAAAGATTCTGAAGTTGGAACACCCTGGGCTTAAATCCCAGTCTCGTACTTCCTCGCTCTGTGACCTTTCCTGGTACTTAACCTCTCTGAGTCTGTTTCCTGATCTGTACAGTGGGACCACCACGGCACTTACCTCTCAGGCTTTCCCTGAGGACACAAATCAGAAAATGTACCCGGAGAACCTAGTTCTGTGCCTCTCCCAGCACACCCGCTGCTGAGTTCCTGTCGTCTCTCTGCAGGTACAAGAAGAATATTAAGGCCCTATACATCGTGCACCCCACCATGTTCATCAAGACCCTGCTCATCCTCTTTAAGCCCATCATTAGGTGAGCGGGGCTGATGGGGGAGGACAGTGGCTTCCCCATGCTTCCTGCTGAACTCTGAACCAGATACTTGAGGAGGCCCAGCACCCTGGAGACAGGCCATTGTGGGGCTCAGCCATTGTCTGATCTTGGGGGGCTGCTGAGGGGATGGTGGAGGCCTGCCGAAATATGCCTACCCGTGCCCTCTATTCTGCCGGCAGCTTCAAATTCGGGCAGAAGATCTTCTATGTGAACTACCTGAGCGAGCTGAGTGAGCACGTGAAGCTGGAGCAACTGGGGATCCCTCGCCAAGTGCTCAAGTGAGGCGGGGGCAGGGGCTGTGTGTGCCCGCTGGGCTAGGTGTACGTGTGTGTCATGCTTGCAGGGGGGTGGGGGGAGAACATGCCAGCCAAGGGGAGACGGAGCCTCGAGAAGCCCCGGGTGAGCAGAGGAAGTGAAGGTAGTGATGAAGAGCCTGCGCACGGGGTCGGAGGGCGCGGGCTCGGATCCTGCTTCTGTCGCTTAAAGGGCTCCTCAGCCCTGACTTGGTCGTGGGCAGAGCAGGGTTGCTAGGAGGGCTGAACGAAGTGACTCTGTGCAGGAGCACAGTGAGGGCCTGACAAACAAGGTGACTACAAAGTCAGGTCGGCGGCCTGACCCTCCCATCTGCCTCCCCAAGGTATGACGACTTCCTCAAATCCACACAGAAGAGCCCTGCCACGGCCCCCAAGCCCATGCCACCACGGCCCCCTCTGCCCAACCAGCAGTTCGGGGTCTCGCTGCAGCAGTGAGTATGGGAGAGGTGGGCAGGCCTGGCATGTGGGGGCCGCAGAGAGCGGCAGACCCCGCTCACTGCCCCTGTTCCCAACAGCCTCCAGGAGAAGAACCCAGAGCAGGCGCCCATTCCGCTTGTGCTCCGGGAGACCGTTGCCTACCTGCAGGCCCATGGTGAGTGCCAAGGCCGCTCACTGGCCACAGGGCCTCCAGGACCTGCCCCTTCCCCTTCAGCCCCGACGCCAGGCCCCTCCTCAGTCTCGTCTCCCAGCTCCCCTCGGGAAGCTGCCAGGCAGGGCTGAGCGGCCCCACATGCACCAGCGCCCACACCGACCCTGCCTGGAGCCCTGAGACAGAGCGGGTCCAGGCGTCTACACCCTGCCCCAGAGCTGAGACTCACCGGCCCCGCTGTTTCCCAGCTCTCACCACTGAGGGGATTTTCCGAAGGTCAGCCAACACCCAAGTCGTCCGGGAAGTACAGCAGAAGTACAACATGGGTGAGTGGTCTGGGGGTGTGCCCAGGCCCGCAGGGCCTGTACAGATCCTGTGGAGGGGCGGGGGAAGGATGGGGCATCAGTGTGACTGTGAGGGGGCTGCTTTGCCATCTGCTCCCCGGTAAACAAGGGCCCCACGTTCCGTTCCTGTCAGAGGTTCTGTGGCATTTGGGCTGATTGCATGGGTCCTGCTCCTGCCTGGCTGTCCCAGGCCCGCTGCCTCAGCGCTCAGGCTTCCGGGTCCCGGGTTTCAGGTTCATTCAGAGACGGGGAATCACCGTAGTGTGTGCTGGGAGGCCCCATCCTACCCGGTCCCCTCGTCACAGAGCAAGAGGGGAAGGCCTGTGCAAGAGGAAGCTCCACGGGAGGACGGGGCTGGTGCAGTGGCTGCGGGCGGTGGGGTCTGCTTGGCCTCCAGGCCTCTAGGCGGGCTGCTGGCCTCCAGGCTAGGCCCAGCTCCTCTCCACCCCCTCCCCCAGGGCTGCCGGTGGACTTCGACCAGTACAATGATTTGCACCTGCCGGCTGTCATCCTCAAGACCTTCCTCCGGGAGCTTCCTGAGCCCTTGCTCACCTTTGACCTCTACCCCCACGTTGTGGGCTTCCTCAGTGAGTGCCCCTGTCTTCCCTCCCCGGCTCTGTGGTTTTTTCTGCTGGGTTGGAGCCAGGGCTGGACTCAGAGCAGGCAGGTTTGGCCTGTCCTCCAAGGACAGTCTGGGTGGGGTCTCCCCTCTGGCCTCGTGCCGGCCCAGCGCCGGGCCGCTGTGACCTGGGCCCTGGTTCCTTGCAGACATTGACGAGAGCCAGAGAGTGGAAGCGACGCTGCAGGTGCTCCGGACACTGCCTGAGGAGAGCTACCAGGTGCTTCGTTTCCTCATTGCCTTCCTGGTGCAGGTGAGCCCGGGGCCTCAGCCTCTGCTGTTCACCTGGAGGAGGGCGGGGGGAGGGGCCGCCACCCCGCCGCTCCCGGGTATAGGAAGCAGGGTCTGTGGCTTCCTGCTGTAGCCCCCTGATTCCCTCCACAGATTTCTGCCCACAGTGACCAGAACAAGATGACCAACACTAACCTGGCTGTTGTCTTCGGCCCTAACCTTCTGTGGGCCAAGGATGCTGCCATCACCCTCAAGGCCATTAATCCCATCAACACGTTCACCAAGTTCCTCCTGGATCACCAAGGGGAGTTGTTCCCCAGCCCTGACTCCAGGGGGCTCTGAGCCCTGCCCTGCCGCCCCTTCTTGGAGAGCCCCAACTGGGACTCTTCCTCCCGGCTTCAGCCTTATCGGAGCTTGGGGCTCCTGCCCAGCAAGGGGCCGTGAGGCCCTGCGGGCTGGAAGCTGGGGCCAGCCAGCCCGGCAGCTCTTGCTCCCCTTCTGTCCAGCCCGCCTCGCCAGCCCTGGAGGCCTCGCTGTAACCACGAGACGTTTTTCTTCGCCTTATACTTCTCACTGCCTCCTTGGATCCCTGGCTCCTTGCCAGGCTCTGCAGAGCTGGCCTTGGCTCTTCCAGCAGGGAAAAAGACTGGCCCCAGCAGCTGCTTCCCCACTTTCTCCTGCCTCTCTTTTCCTGGCAACTGCAGATGCCTCTGTCATGCCAGCTGGGCTGGTAGCTGGGGCTGGTCCCCTTCCTGGCTGCTGGGGAGTAAGCAGCTGAGCTGGGCTGGCTTGGGCCCGCCCTACCAACGCACCTCCCTGCCTCGGTGAAGGCCTGTGCGCAAAGCATCTGCTCCTGTCCTCCCCTCTGAAGGTTCAGCCTTGGGTGTTGACACAGCTAAGGACTGGCAAGGCCAGAGGCTGCTTCCTACTTCTGCCTCCTTCTCTTGCACACATCCTGGGTCAGCCCTTCTCAAGTGATACTGCCCCCAGGATGTTCCTGCCCCCTGGTTCTGCCAGGACTGGCAGCTTGGATGATAGGGCTGAGTCCCAGCATCCATCTGAAACAGACACTCCCATTCCTACCCAGAAGCCCCGTGTCTGGTCGGGCCAGTGACAAGCAGTCTCAGACCCCCATGCCTTGCCTCCCCTCCCTTCCCACTCCCGCAGATCCTCAGCCTAAGCTCTTGTGGGCGGGTCTGTGGTGGGGTCACATGGGTCCCTGCTCCGGCCAGAAGCGACTCAGTGCCTCAGGATCTGTGGCTTCTTCCTCCAGCTAGTGACTCCTGGAGGGGCTGAGCGGAGACCTTGCTAATTAAGTCAACCCCTGCCGGGGGAGTTCTAGCAACGTCCCCCAGGGCCCTGTCGTCTTTAAGAAATCCTGGACCCCGATCATTGGTACTTCTCATTCCAGCTGTGTTCCTTAGAATTACACGCCTTCTTGGTGAACCGCGGGGGGGGACCCCACTTCCTGCAGTTGTCCCCTGGCAGCAGAGGGAAGTATCTGCACAGTGGCCCTGCCCCCCTAGCCTTGGCCAGAGCTTGTACTGTGGGGGCCCTCATTGACCAGCCCAGCCCCATCTGCGCGGTGGGTGCGGCCTGGGTCCTGACCTCACTGGGCTCTCTCCCGAGGATGCTAGCATGTTAGGACTCCTGGGGGCCTGGAGTGGCTGCTGGTTCCTTGTCAGTCCCTGCGTCTCTGGCCCGAGCCGGGCTTCTGCTTTCTGCCCTCCTTTGTGTATCAGGTGTTACGCACAGCCCCATTTACTGGGGAGCCTCATAGAACTCTTAGGTCTTTCTCCTGTCCCCTGTCCCACTGGTCTGTCCCCAGGGGGAGAGGGAGAGTACTGTGAATCAAGTGTTCACATTCACACTTAATGACTTCCTGGGCACCAATCATGTATTTCACCTTTACACTTTTTGTATTTCAATAAAAAAGGAGATGGAAAACTGCACTCCCCCCCCCGCCGGGTGTCCGGAAGCACACCTGGAGGCTCAGAATAGGCTGGGAAGTGTGTGGTTGTGGAAGATGAGCAGGTGGGGCCTCAGGAAGTCCCCCTCCCCAGTCCATCTGACCTCGTCCTTCTTTGTCTCGTTCCCTTGGGAGTGGGTGTGAAGCCGGCTTTCTGACGTCCTCCAGGCTTGGACGTGTGAACAGTGACCCCATGTTGTACGTGTGCAGCATCCCAATGGGCCGCCAAGGGCGGTACCCCATGACCACAGCCTCTTCTGGCCCTGAACAGAAGGGACTGTGGCGAGAGCAACATGGGCTTGAGTCCTGGTGCCATCACCCTCCACCAGCTCCGCTTGATAACAGCCGTATCATCAGCCCACCTGGGACGGTCTTTTCATTTCTGAGGCTCTGAAGTGACACACACAGGACGTAACAGAGCAAGTGCCCAGTGGTGACCAGAATGACCACTGTTGCAGAGGAATGAGGAGATGGTCCCAACCTCATGTAGCACCTACGATTGGAAGCCTCGTGTGACTGTTAGCTTCTTTCTCCCCACCCTCCCCTCAGCGCCTTGGCCATTTCCACCTGCCACCCGGTCCCACCGAGGCTAGAAGAGAACCAGTTTTCGTCTCTTGACTAGATTTTGCTGCGCTTTAAAGATTAAGATGGCAAAATTTAAGTTACGTGTATTTTACCACAATTTAAAGATAATGGTTTGTCACTGGGAGGGCAGGCCAGAATTTCTCTTGGCACAGCGGTCAACGTCAAGTTGCACCTGTCTGCGGCCTGCCTGTTGATGAGTCAGGTGATGGTGGCCGGTTCTCTTTCCCCTCCTTGCTTGCTCCGGCCGGCGGAGCGGGTCCAGAGCTGCAGGATTGAGCAGTGGTGTGAAGCTGGTGGTGACAAACACAGGCCCTGAGCTGCAGGGAGCCAGCCCTCACCCCGCTGGCCCCAGCAGCAGGCCCCAGCAGCCTCTCACCGGCTCTGCTCTAAACCGGGTGACTGCTTACAACAGAGGAGCAGTATCCCAGGGCAACTCTGAGAGGGGAGCAGATCAGGAGAGCTGTTTACTCGGGTTGGACTCCTGGCAGGACCTCTGCGGAGTGACTCAAAAGCCAGTTTACCCCTGCCTTGGCAACAGCAGGTCTCGGGGGGCCAAGTGTCGGGAGACGCTTTAAAGGGGCAGGACACCATCATGAGACACGGGGCAAGTGAACACTGTTTTGGGGGGGGGGATCCCAACTGAAGGTGAAGACAAGGGACAGTCTCTTCACCACTTCTGACTCAGGGGCTGGGTGACTGTCCCAGCTGCCTGCACGGTCAGTTATCACGGCCAGTGTCAGGTGCAGTTAAACAACAAGCTAGGGCTCCCAGGGCCCACAACAGCAGCAGTGAGCAGCCTCCTTTTCAGCCTTAGCTTTGGACTCAATTTAGAACTTTCTCACCGTTTTCTGCCCTGGCTTCAGCCTGAAGTGGGGGCAGGGAGGCAACCCACACTACAGTTGCCCCCGTCTGTCAGGCAGTTAGTCCCTTGCCTCTAGAACCATCTCTGCCTCTGGGACACTGGCTCCGCCTCCCACTCCCGTGGCCCAGTTAGGCACGAGTTAGGAGGCAGGAGCTAGCTTTACCAGGGCTGACAGGCCTGCCACAGAAGCCCCCGGGGGCCAGGCAGAAATAATCCCCGCGGGCTCTTCTGCTCGTCGTCGTGACTCCTCAGGGAGCACCCCGGCGCCCGGCTCGAGCTGTCTGGCAGATGGGGCAGCTAAACACACTCGATGCGCCTTTGACTTCCTGATACCTCACTCAGCCCCTTCCCCTCTGGTTTGCTCAGCCACATCGCCTCCCCCTAGGTTAGCAGACAGATACCAGCAGCCGAGGGAGGCCCCCTTTCCCTGCTCCTGCTGGAAGCATGGCAGAGGCCTGGCAGCCGTTTCTCCCTCGAGCCAAAGGCTCCTGCCTCCAGGCCGAGTCGGGGGTTGGGGGGGGCGATGCTGCACAAGCAGCTGATGACGATGCTGGCCTTCATCTAAGGGGGCTTCAGCTTTGCGTGTCGGCTTCACACACGGTATCTCACTGACCAGTCGCATACAAGCCCCCGAAATGGGAATGGTAGAGCCAAGAAAACGAGGCGCTAAGTTTCCTGATCAACCCAAGGTGGCACCGCGGCCAAAGGTGGCCGAGCCCCAAGACGCAAACCAGCCTGCCTGACTCCGAAGCCATCCTGCACTTCGCATCCACTGCTCTTCCTCCCACGGAGGGGCCGCCGGTTAGCGGGGCCCACACACAAGCGGGAGAGCACGGGTTAGCACTTTAGACAACTGGCAGGACAGGACGCTGTCAAGTACAGAAAAAATTTATTGGAAATCTCTCGAATACGTTTTAAAGTATAGCTCAGTATTTCCAAACAAGGTGGGCTGGAGGAGGCGGAGGGACTCTGCCACCTGGAGACGGGTGATGGGCCCCAGCCCCGTCCCGGGGGCTTCTGCAGGAGTCAGTCCAGGGGTCACCCCTGTCAGTGTTTGGGGCCGAGGGCTGAGGGCCAGCCTTGACAGTTGCTCTGCTCCTCCCATTCTCAGCTCAGGGCTCAGCCTCCCTGGCCTCTCACTGACAGGGTCCTAAAGGAAAGCCTGCTGCCCGCAAAGGCCAACAATCAGGAGTCAAAGAGGACAATGGCTAACAGGCCTTCCCATGCTCGGCCTCAGGACAGTGGCTGAGATGCTGTGGCAGGACGTGGGGGGCGGGGGTGATCAACAGCTTACCAGGGCTTCACCCCTCTGAGCACTGGGGCCTGCGGGGTAGATCTGGATTGGTTTAGCAGGCCATGGGTGCACTCTGGCCCCAAAAGAGGAGGGCCAGCCGGACACCACTGCTGGGAACATTTCTTTGTGGCAGCAGAATGCATGCAACAGGAGCAGGACTCAGCCTACCTGAGACAGCCTCAGAGCGCACTCCAGCCCTCAGAGTTGAGCCTTATCAGTGGGAACGATGTCACATGCATTTACTAACAAGCAACTGAGGACCACCTGCTCCAAGGCAGAACAGCTGCCGCCAATAACAGCCCAGGTGGGCCAGGAGGAATGGGGCGGGCCTTGTTTCCCTTGGCCAGGACTACCGGGTAGGCTGGGGGAGGGAGAGATGATAGGTGGATGAGGCTAAGTGCTTGACTGACTCAAGGAACAATACCTAAACGGTTAAGTCAATCATATGCCTAGCTTTGGTTTCTCAACAAGGAACCAATCCAGCTAGTAAACCTCAGGACGGGGTGCAGACCCTGGGATTAAAGAAAGGTGGTAGCCAGGCCCAGGTAGAAAGAGGAAAAGGCCCATAACCTAGCCCTGAGAAACAGAAACAAGTCCCCCCAGAAGGAGGGGCCCCTCTGGCCTTCCCCGGGGCCACAGTGGGGCACATACATTGCACTCTATGTCACTGTACAACTCTGAAGAGTTGTACACACAGAGTTGTACACATCTAGCACCCAAGACTTCCTGGGCTGCGAGAATGGAGTCAGTTGCTCTGCAGAAGCTGGGAGAGATTCAAGGCTCTCACCAGGAATATGTAGGAGTCTAAGGTAAAGCCTGTCGTCAGTTCAAGTGCAGTGATTCTGGGAGGTTCCGTTGCCCTCAGCCAGCCCTATTCTTGGATCCCACCTTATGTATATGGGAAGGAAGATCCTCAGAGCAGCAACCCAGAATCTGAGGAACCTCCTGAGGAGGAGGCCCTACTCCAGGAAGAGGCCCTCCACCTTCCCCAAGTGAAAACATCTAACCTCAAACATATTTTCTCTATAAAATATCTGATTTCTCTGAAAAGTAATAAATATTTACCGTGTTTTATAACCAAGGAGCAGCAATAGGGGGAGGAAGGAGAGAAAAAGAACCTTTGCTGTGACTCCCAATGAGAGAATCCTGGAGACCCAGGATTCTGCTTCCATGGAGCTGAGGAGCTGAGCACAGCCAGCCACCAGGGCTGCTCAGAGCCTCGGCTGAGAGATGGGCTGGCACAACCCTCAAGGGTGGGAATGGCTGACTCTGGAGTTCTCGCCACCTTGGGCAAGAGGCCTGTCATATTGCCAAAAGTATGGGCACAGGGGCGCAGACAGGGAAGGAGAGAGAAGAAGACATCAAACCAAATGGGACCAAAAAAGAGCCTAAAGGAGCCCTTCCTTCTTCCTCCCAGCACTGTCTCCTTCCTCTTTCTGCCTCCATGCCAGGCTCTGGGCCAGGAGCTGGAATGTCAAGTGCTGGATGGTAAGTCAGCAAGGGGCCAGCTGCACGGAGGACCCAGGGCAGGGGGCCGGCAGGAGGAACGGGATGACAGCCATTGTGAACCAGTCGCTGATGGGCGGTGGAAGCAGATGGCCCTGCCGAGGGCCCTTTTGTTATAAAGTGTCTTCCAATCTCCAAGGCCAGGGGGTGAGTCTCTCAAATGCTATCACCGGGCTTGACTGCTGCCATGGAGTCTCCAGGAGGTGTCAGAACAGGGACTTCCGGGTCCCCATGGGGGAAACCAGCCTCTCCTCCACCTGGAGCAAGATGAGGGATGGAAGCAGCTGATGAGTGGGAGGCTCTGTCTCCTGGGACCACAGAAAGGGGATGCTGCTGGTACCCGTGGACACCAACTTTTACTGCAGGGTTTCTACAAAGGCATCAAATTCTCGGACATTCTTCTCGTGCACAGCCAGCTTCTCTGGTAGTGAGTCCTGTATCAGGAGGGGAGAGAAGAGCTGCTTATTCAGGTAGGGTCCTGAAGAGGCAGCTAGTGCAGGCCCCCCGCCCCGGCTGGAGAAGGGAGCACAGCCCAGAGCTCAGCGTCACAGTGCAGGCCGGGAGAGCAGGAGATGCTGGGCCGGGGGGCAGGCACCGCACAGTGGGCTTGTGTCCAGCAGGGTTTGTGGGGGCTCGGGGGCTCAGCAGAACAGCCCAGGGAATCAAGTGGGCCACACACTTACCGAGCTAGAAAAGGAGCATGCCAACAACAGGATGACACAGAGAAGTTACCTTTGGCACAGATCAGACTGACACAGGAATGAAACAGTAGGCCTAGTATGCTACAGATCAAGAAAAGTTTAGGAGAGTTCTTCATGACCTGTGCTGGGCAGAATCCCTTGGGGGCACAGGAACAAAGGCGTCCCAACCACGCTCCCAAGAGAGTCTGACTCAGCAGGTCTGTGGGGAGGCCTAGGAATCAGCATCTTTATACCTGCTGAGGAAGGGGCGTGTTAGAGAGTTAAGAGAAAACAATAAACAAGAGGAGAAAACAGAATCTGAGAAATTAAGTTTAACTGCCCTCAAGAATCAACTATTAATAAAAATTTGACCCTAATCAGGTGCTCTGTTTCCACTGCTGAATGTGCATCTGAAGAGATTTCCTGACTGGCACCAGGTGCTCAGGAGAGTTGGGCCTGCCCCCCCCCCCAAGAACTGGCAGATGGCCCAGACATGCTGGGGGCACCAGGGCAGCGGCGGGAGGCGGGGGTAACTGGCTACTCCTGGCTGCAGAATCACTCAGGGAGCCTTTGCGGTCCGGTTTCTTCCAGGCCTGTTTCCAATGAGAAGCCAGAGGGCCAGTGGCTAAAAGCCTAAAATCAGAAGCCAGACTCTCTAGGATCAAAGCTGTGCGTTGCCGGCTCAGTGCAACCAGGGGCAAGTTATCTGTTTACAAACTGGGATAGTAAGAAAAGCTACCTCTTAGGATTGTTGAAGATTCATGTAAAGCACTTAGAAAAATGCTTGGCACCTAGTAAGCCTCAATAAATGTTAATAATAATGATATTGTTATAGTAGTGTTATTACTGAGCATGCTTTTCTGTTTCGAGCAAAGCAAGGGCAGATATTCCAAGATTCCTACTCCTACTAGAGCCATTCCTCTAATGTTGATATAGAAGGTGACATTTCCACCCCACCCTGACATCCTGTGGTGTTAGAGTAAGCAGCTAGTTAGGTTTTAACGGGATGTCTGGAGGCCAGGAAAGGGGGAAGTGAGGGACAGCTATCGGGAAAGTCAGAGGCCTGTCCTGGCTGGCCGCACTCAAAGACAAAGAAGGCCAGTGACCCTGACCAAGTGAGGGAGAAAAGGCGTGAAAACCTACTCCCAAAGAAATCCTCCTTCCAAATAATAAATATGCCCCCCCTAGTTAACAACTGTCAATAAAAGAGACCCAAACGATGGGGTGCACAGCTCTCCCGAGCTCGCCCGCTCTCTCACCTCAAGTGTGCCCTCACTAAACTCTTCACCTGCACCACTCAACCACTGTGTCTGGTCTGTCTGAATTCTTTTCTTACGACAAGACTTAAGAGCGTCCGGGGACATCCTGGCAACAGGCTGCGTGGAGGTGTAGGGCACCCGGAGTTTATAGCCGTGCAGCATGCTCCTCTGCCCTTTGGACACAGGAAATACGCTAAGCAGAGATGCAGAGATTACAGTCAGTATCAGGACATCTGGCAAACTCAACAACTGCTGGCTGAATCAGGAATGAGCTCTCCGAGGAAAGAGCAAGAACACCAATGCTCAGGACCTCACGTTTCTTCTGCCCTGTACTGCTGGCGTTCTGCCTGACAAGCAGAACAGCTGAACGCAGGAGCGACTGGAGCAGCTTGGCTTCGTGGCAGCCGCAAGCCGAAGACCCGAGACAGTGAACAGCAGGGATGGGAAGTAATGGTGAGCATGGACAGAAGAGGAGGAAGTCGATGCAAGCAACTTCAAGACAGTGACTGCCAGGCACAATGCAACCTCAAGTGTGATCAACAGAAAATAAGGATCTAAAGTGTCTCTTTCCTGTTATAAAGAGGATGGGAGGTGTGGGAGGTGGGGCAGTAAGACGAAGAAATTTCCAGGCCTTTGGAGCAAGAATGACCATTAAAAGAGGATAGGAGGTTGCAGGCTGAGGTCTGGCAGGGGAAGGGGTTTCCATACCAAGTCCTCAGCCATGGACTGCGCTCCGATATCTATGGAGAGGCTGCTCAGCTGAGGGGGATTCTGAAATTCACGATAGAAGGTCCCCAGGTCCATCGGAAGAATGTCGTCTTTAGAAAAAGCCGGTTTCTACAAAAACAAGACAGACTCAGTTTAGCTGCCTTAGATCACAGAGGAAAATCAGGGGAAAGAAGCTATGAACAACCCTCTTTCCTTCCAGTAATTATCCGAGAAAGGGTTCCTCCAGGTTCATCTTAGGGGGTGGAATTGCTATACCTTTCTCCTCTGGGCAGCTGAGCTCTAGCCCTGGTGCTAACCAGGTGCTAAGGTTTATGTTCCCTTCCCTCAAACTCCTTTCCTTAGCAAAGGGCCATCCATTCAGGCAGGAATAGGGCCTACATGGATACCACTGGCAAATCCTCATTTAGAGTTGAATTTCAACCAAAGACACGGCACAAAATGCCTTCTTGTTCATGGGCCTCCAAATGTATCCCCAAGCAGGGCATGGGGGCAGGTTCCCCCCATGAACTGCACAGCCAGGTGCCCACCCATCCCATCCCCTATCTGTACCAGTCCATCTGATCCCTGTGAAGGAAGTCCTGTTCAAGTACCCTGGACAGTTCTTGGTTTATTTCCCCTATGGCAGCAAAGGTCCAAGAAGGTGATGGCAACTTACGAAGTCGATCATGACAAAGTCATCGTGGGTATTGCCACTGCTGCCCCCACTGGAGCCATTCGAGTGCAGGCTGCCCTGGAGAGGAGATTCGGTCTGTGGGGAGTCTGGAGGATTCACCTGTTTCAGAACAAGGTGGAGGTAGGGGCTGGTTCCATGCACTGGGTGCAAGCTGCTGTTAATAATCAAAGGATCTGTAAGGGACCCAACCTGGCTGAAAATCTGTAAGCCAGGAGCATGGTTAATAGTCTGTGGAGGAACAGTGACTTGCCCAGGAAGACGACACACGCAGCACCATCTGTTAACTTAAGTCAAAGGGGGACTCACCATGGGATCGGCATCCTCCAGCTCCAAATTCTTGGGAGCAAACATGGCAAAGGGTATGTCCAAACTGGTTAGGGTCACCTGAAGAGACACGGAAATTTCAGTGCCCACCCCTGCCCCAGCTTTTACAGGCTTCCTCAGAGTCCACCAGCTGCCTGTGGGTCCAGCAGATTTGCACACCCAGGCTGACCACACTGTCCTCAGGTTCCCATCCTGCTGGCGAACCCCAAATCTCCCCGCCTCCCATCACACACCCATAACATAAACAGGGTTAGGGCCCCCCAGGATCCCGGGAGTCAGCTTCGGAAGCCTGACCCACAGTGATTGGGTAACAACTGTTCTGCACTGGTAGAGCTGAAGAGGAACTTCTTATTTTGAGTAAGGCTGAGGCCCTGACACCTGAGTGCAAGGTGTCTGTACCAAATGGTGCCTAGTCTCCCTCTCCTAGGGGAGTATGCTTATATGATCACAGAACAAGAGCTGTGAACTTCTTTTGGAGAGCCGTCACAGGTTACTAACCCTCTTCCCAAAAAATTCACACACACACACACACACACACAATTTTGCATGCACTTTCAGGGGTCTCACAGACCCTAAGTGAAGAGCCCTGCCCCTAAGGCCTCACTCTAAAGGCTCAGACATTCTCACAGGTGGCAGTGCCAGAAAAATCACCTGGTTGACGGGCTTGTTGACAAAAGCCCCCACTTTGCGGACAAAGATGGTCTCCAAGACATCGTGGGGGGATGCCCGGCCCTCACTGCTGTTTGATACCGTTTCAGTATCCTCGCTGAAGAAGAAAGACAGTGTTGGTACTCATTCTCAAACCACGGCAGAGCCTACTTGGTTGCCCATAAACCCACCGTTGGTGGGGCTGCACTCCAGAGCAGGAGTGGCCCCCCACCAGCCGACCCACGTGGTTAATGGTAATACGGGGCTGACTGCAGCCACCGTCACTCTCCCTTTGAGTTGACAGCAGAGGACTGCACTTCCAGGAGCCACTAAAAATGAGGCATATGTGAATGAAACTCAAGTGTTACAACTGTGTAAGGCTTACATTAAATTTAATCCGAAACACCTCTGGTAAGCATCAGTTACCAAGCATACAGCAATCATGCATACAGGCAAGCAGAGGTCCTAACCGTGATTTTAACAGTAATCCATGACATAGGCAGACTCAAGCTTTAAGCTGTTCTCTGCCTTCTTGTTTTGTTATCTAAAATTACCATAAGAAGGAATCATTTACAGGGTTTATATAGTTGTGTGTTAAATTTAAGCCTTACCTCACAAGGGGCAGTGTCATTATCCTAAGTTGAGAGTCCCAAATTTGGCTCTTCAGATAGGCAGAGCTTTCTCTGCCCATGACACATCGCCTGGGCTGAGGTCCTCTGTGCTCCACACCACGTTTCCTCTCCTCACCCCTAATCAACCCTCTGTTCAGCAAGGTCTTTCAATGGCACATTTCATTTGGCTGCCCACTCCTTCCCTCTCCAGCTCTCCAGACTGATGTGGAGTCCTGGATGATGGGGGATGGGGGATGCAGGTGGGGGTTCACCCTGTGGCCACCAGGCTAGTAGTCACAGCCCCAGCAGCAGCAGGGGTTAGGAAAGGTCCTCTGGCCAAAAGCAGAGGTTCAAGGTAGGGAGGAGGACTGTGCCGTCCAAGAGGACGCCAGCCAGCAGGAAAGACCAGCACTGAGGAAAGGCCTGAGCTCTGATGACCTGCATTTAAGCACCCCTTACCCCAAGGAGAAGAGATAGGGTCCTCTATCTCTAGCTACTCCCAGACATGCTTCAGGAGTCAAGGCTCAGAAAACTAGAGTATAAAATGACTAACGGGATATTCCTTTGATTATCTGACAGGGAGAGGGATAAAAGGATGGAAGTTTGGGAAACCAGGAATGAAAGTAATTATTTTTCCTGGTGGATGGCACAAAAAGGTCTTCCCAAATAATTTCCCTCCAACTGCTCCACCGTGGGAATGAAAAAAAAAAAAATCTATTATCCAAAAGTTCATTTAGGATGTAGTGGGGCAATCAACGTCATTATCTCTGGGGCCTTGCAGTCAAGGGAGGGCACGGCAGGTCAGGACAGCCTCATCTTCCCACGGGAGAACTCCAAGTGTAAGGGAAAGAGGAGCTCGGCCTGAGCCGGGCCATTGTGTGGGCTAAGTGCTCTTTGGCAAATTACTTAACCCTCTGAGATCCTCTCATCTTTGAAAAGGCGGTAACAGTGGTGATTTGTGCAGGGTAGGATAATGAGAACTTTCATGTTCTACCTCATCAATGTCTTCATAATTTGAAATTTACAGAATGTATCACTTCTGTAATCAGAAAATACAAAGATTTTTAAAAATTTTTACCGAAGAAAAACAGCTGTTTCTAAAAAATCTCCATGAGGTGCTAACATAGCAGAGGAAAAACAACAACAATAATCCTAACTACCACCACAGATCCACTGTGGCCCCAAACTTGAGGGTTACAGCAAACCACCTGCTCTGGTCCTCAGGAAACACTGAGGACTCATTCCAGGGAATAAAGTTGGGGGTAAGAGAAAAAAAAAAAACCCACATCTGAAGGTCCCCTTCACTGGAAGAGGGTGATAAGAAGTAGGTCCCGGCTGTTGGCTGTTAAGAGCAAGCTCGGGGCAGCTTCCTTACATACCAGCTGCAATGTAAGATTCTTATCGAGAACTTTAAGAATTCCACATCTGGGGCCTCAGGGCCAACCCTGAGGCAATGCTGAAAGCAACTCTTTACTGACACCAGATAGGCACAGGTGTCAGGGAGGATGGGCCCCTGGCTGCCTGAGCAGCCAGGCCGTGAACTCACCTGCTGGAAGGTGTGGCAGCACAGTGCGCCCCGTCAGACGGAGTATAGGTTGCCAGTCTCTCCTGGTCAGCCTGGGCACCGTGGGCAGGCTGGTTGGGAGCAAGCGGTACCCCACCTTCCTTCCCAGGAACCATGAGCTTTGGGGGAAAATGGAAGAATATAGTGAACAACGGCAGTGTCAGGCAGGAGAGGAAACTTGGCCTGGTGTGATGGTAGTGCCTCCGAGCTTTTCCACCACCAATGCTGCCACCAAATGGGCGGGAAACCTTGGATCTGTCTTCTCTGGGACTCAGCTAATGGGTGACGTGACGTATGTGGTAAGAGCTACAGAGGGAGAGGAAAGAGAGGGAGAAAACACTTGGAAGCTCTTCTTTCCTTTCTGAACTCTAGGAGGCCCTTCCTCCTGGAGTCACCTCAGCCCTCTGAAGTTACCTAAGAGCCCTGTTTCAGAGCACTTAGCATAATACTGGTGCGTGAAGAGGCCCCTCCACTGCCTCAAGGCAGGGGAGGCAGCACAGGAACCCCCGGGGTCCTCCCCATCTTTAAAGATACCTGGTGAGGGTGTGTGGCGTTTAGGCCAGCAGCAAACACTACTGGGTAAGCCAGGTCAGCTGATCCAACGCCCAGGGCAGCAGGCTGATAGGAAAGGCGAGAGCTTGAGAGCTAAGCGAGAGAAAAACAAAGAGGGGCAGAAGAAAGGAGGAGGAAAAAACAGGCAATCCTAGAGTATGACTAGTGATCAAGATTGTGGAGAGGTAAGGAATGGATCCCAGCCCACATCCTCATGCGGGGCGGGGCGGGGGGGGGGCGCGGGGCGCGGCTGACGTAAGGGTTAAAGACAGAGCAGGCCATTACTCTGTGGCTAAGAAAGCACAGACTTGTTTGCAGTGGGACTGACATTCCCAGCTCTGCAGCCTTCCAAAGGCCTCAAATGAGTTCCCTGCTCCCCCTTTTCCCAGGGGCTCAGCTAACTGTTGAGGTTTCCAGCCCAATGGACTGGCGAAGCACAAGCCCGAGCAGAACTTGCAGCCAAAGTCATTGGTTTTTCCCAGGTCATTCTATTTTCTCCTTTGTCCTTGAGGTCCCTTTGAAACAGAAGGCGTCTTCCCTAATCACACCCTCCATCACCCCTGGGTATGGGAGAGTTTCTATTTATACTGAAAAAGAAAGAATACCACTCTTGGATTGTTTATTTGGAAATAAGATATAAATAACTCCGTGTATTTTTTACATCAATGGTAGGAGGAGGGGCAAACGAAACATCCTATTTTGGGCTGCTGTGCTATGGCTGCATCCTGTTAAAAATCAATTACCAAACCTCAAATAACCCCCAGAACACTTGGGGACATTTAAATAGCTATTCCCTGTACTTTATGTATAATTTTTAAATAAAAAGATGCCGTCTGATTATATCCCCTTCTTCCCAGTATGGACTCACTTGATGGGAAAAGGCCAGTCCTGCCATGGGGACCCTCAGAGTGTCCGTCACCACAGGAGTAGGGGTCTGAAAATGTGCCTTTGTGACAGTAAACACACACTGTGCACAGATACACACGAGACAGGAGAAACAAGAGAAGAAAACAGAAAAGGGACTTAAGAAAGAAGTGAAAACAACTCTGGAAGGGGAGCCAGCCATAGGGGCTGAACTGCACGCTGGAAGTCAGGGGTGCGGCAGGGAGAGAGCAACATGGCTGCCTCCCGAGAAGGACAACTTGGAAGCATCTGAGGAAGACACATTTATCCCACGGGGCATACATGCTTGTCGCCCTGATGAGCAGGTGGAAAACAAAGCTGAGTCAAGCTGGTATGACTTGGCAAAACAGGGAAACCCGAACCAAGCATTAGTGTGTCCTTAGTCAAAAGAGGCAGAAGGATGTTAGAGAATGGCCTCCAGCAGCAAGGCCTTGAGAGCAGGTGCAAGGCATGCTGAGGATGAAGACGCTGAGGTTACAATGCTAGACTGGAGACCTTTTCCTGGGGACCCAGAATCTGCAAGGATAGGTTTAAACAACTGACATTTGTTGATGAGAACTTTAAAATGCTCAGGTCCAGGGCAATGGGGTGGCTCGGTCAGTTAAGTGTCTGACTTTGGCTCAGGTCAAGATCTCAGGGTCCTGGGATCGAGCCCCGCGTTGGGTTCTGTGTCCAGTAGGGACCTCTGCCCCTCCCCCTGCTCATGCTCTCTCAACGAAATAAATAAAATCTTAAAAAAAAAAAAAACAAACGCGGGCGCCTGGGTGGCTCAGTTGGTTAAGCGACTGCCTTCGGCTCAGGTCATGATCCTGGAGTCCCGGGATCGAGTCCCGCATCGGGCTCCCTG